AAAAATCACAAAGTAAAAAATTAACAAGTTGAACTGCATTAAAATTATACTCCCTATACAACTAAAAATAAAATATCTAAAGAGAAGTATAATTAGATTGAGAAACATAGTTGCATCAAATATGACTTAAGGTTAATTTCTTTATTATGTAAGGTGCTCCAACAATTACCAAGTAATCAAGAGTGAAATGGCTAAAGTGCATACAGACTATTTGCACCATGGGAGATATAATTAATAAATATTAGGACCAATATCAACCTTGCTAATAACTCAAATGCAAAAGAAAACAATGAGATTCATACACTTAATTGGAAAGTATAAAAAAACAGCTCCCCCCCATCCAGCTGTACTGTGATAAAGATACTACTCATGCATTATTGGTGGCAATGTAATATATTAGTATCTTTTTGGAAAGCAATTTAACAATTCATATCAATTGTTATAAAAGTATTCATAGCCTTTGACTCAGATATACTCCTCTTGGATATTTATCCTAAGGAAATAGGTAAAAAAGAGAAAGTATATATAAATGATGTCCGTTTTAACATTATAATTACATTGAGACATTACTTATAATGAAATATTAGTAATTATCTAAAAAGTAAAATTAAAAAAATAGATGAATGGCTATGAAAGTTATGAATACTGGCCTGATCAATCAGAAGATATAAAATAATATTTCAGCCCTGGCTGATGTGGCTCAGTTGGTTGGGCCACAATGGTTCCCAGGTTTAATTTCCAGTCAGGGCACATGCCCAAGTTTCGTGCTTGATCCCTGGCAGGGGTCAGCAGGAGGCAGGCAATCAATGTTTTGCTTTCACATTGATGTTTTTTATTTTTTTCTCCCTCCCTTCCTCTCCCCGCCCCCCATCACCCTGGCTGGTTTGGCTAGGTTTGGCTCATGGCTAAAGCTTTGGCCTGTGGATCGAAGGGAAGGGTCACAGGTCGATTCCCAGGCAACAGCATGTACCTGGGTTGGAGGTTCAATCCCAGGCCAGGGTTGTGTGGGAGGCAACCAACTGATGTGTCTCTCTCACATCAATGTTCCTCTCTCTCTCTCTCTCTTTCCCTTCCACTCAATCTAAAAAATCAATGGAAAAGCCCTGGCCAGTTTGGCTCAGCGGTTAGAGCATCGGCCTGCGGTCCGGAGAGACCCGGGTTCGGTTCCCGCTAAGGGCACGTACTTCGGTTGCAGTTTGTCCCCGGCCCTGGTTGGTCGTGCGGGTGGCAGCCACTCGATGTGTCCCTTCACATCGATGTTTCTCTCTCTCTCTCCCTTCTTCTCTCTCCCTCCCACTCTATCTGTACAAAAAATGGAAAAATATCCTCGGGTGAGGATAAAAAAAAAAAAAAAAAATCAATGGAAAAATATCCTCAGGTGAGGATTAACAAACAAATAAATAAAATGAATTAAAAAAATTTTTTAAAAATAAAATAAGATTTCAGAGCCACACAGAAAATGTATAATAAAAAATAGTAGAAAACTTTTTTTACCCTACTCTACTTACAACTGCCTTCTAACACACAAAGAATTGAAAGACAAAGGTAAACTGAAATAGTTTAAATGTTCAGTATGCTGGGAAAGTCAGGGAATATATTCGTCCTTGTTCTGATAACAAGTACTAATACTTCTTGAATACTTACCATGTGCATGATGCCGGACTATGGACATTTTTATACAAATGCATTTAATCCTATGGGGTATGTTATAACCAATAAATAGAAAAGCTGATATTTTAATTCAGGCAGTATGTCTTTAGTCCTGATCTTAACCACGATGCTGTATTATACACTCAAATTAAGAAAAGCTAGAAAAGTCGAATTTCCCTCAATCTATAAGAATCGTGTTTCAAAAGGTAAGGTATCAGCATCACGTATAAATGTAGTATTATTTGGTAATCTCAGATTACTATAACCTTAACAACTGCCATCTAACCTTTGAATCTTGCCTGTAAAGTTAAAGTAAGTTGATTTTAATGAAAAAATCCTCGCATACTATCACAGAATGCTAGAGCTATGCAAGAGTTTGGAGGTTACCAGATCAGATCCTTTATCTCTACAGCGATAGAAACTAAGATCTATTATCAGTAACAGGCTGACTCAAGGTCATTCAGCTGGTTAATGTAACCAACACTAGTTATAAATTCTAGGTTTTTGCAATGATAGTCCAATGATATTTCTTTCTATAGCATCTTACTTTCCTCTTCCATAAAAAATATCTATGTATTGTTTTAAATGCACAATAAATGTGAGGTACCACATTTGGTGTATTAGTTAAACTAATTTAATCTTTACAACAGTTTTAAGGAGGCAAATAATATAACCTTTTTAAGACAACGACACTGAAGTTCAGATAGGTTTAGTATGTTTTCCAGGACTACACAACTATTAACTGGCATCCAGGTCTGATTCCAAAGCCAGTGCTCTTCCCTGCAGTGGTCTGCCACAAGGTCTGGGGAGAAAGTGCTCATGCACACAGGGAGTTCTGGTTACCGAGGTTCCTTGAGTTCCTTGTGCATGCCACCAGAAGTTCATGTTGGGAGAGACCATTCTGATTTTTCCGTAGGCTCAAGACTAGCTGGCTGTTCCAGTGGGTTAGAAAGAATGTAAGTAAATGTTATCTCCTGATGTAAAAAGGGTTTCCAAGTTCGTGTAGATCCTGGAATTGATCTTTTGTGTCCTCATAACATAATCAAGGGAATAGAAAACATTCAGTGCTTAAAGAGGAGCAAAGGGGCAAAATATAATGATGCTAGTGTTTTTTCCTAATATGCAAATAGTTCAATGGCTCATGAAATACATTTCATGACACTTCATACATACATCCCCATGACCTTTCCTCCCTCACTTTTTTACTCCCTTTATTTTGCCCCACACTTTAAATTCTGTAGCTTCTAGCATCACAGGCTATAATCCCTCTCTCTCCAGTAAGGGAGCCCTCTAAGTCTTCAGTGTCTCTCCATGTACAACCATCTCATACAACAAAGGAGAAAATCTTCTAAAGCAAAGCCACTGCTTCCTAAAAGTTCCTCCTTAAATTCCTTGAAAACAGGCCTCAGCCTACCTTTCCAGCATTCTCTCTCCCCAGTCCCTCAAGCCCACTGGAACTAATCCGGGCTTTCCCTGCTCTGTGTTTTGGCTCACAGCGATGCCTTTATCTGGAATCCTTTTCTTTTCAGCTTTGGTTGTGTAAATTCAGTCTGTCCTTTAAGGCTCATCTCAAATGTAATCTCCTTTGCTTTTCCAGATTCTCCGGACCAGATGTAACTCCTTGTCTAACTCTGATAGCTTGACATTCTGATCTGTACTGCAGGATAGTGTACCTGTACTGTCAGTTCCTTTAAGTTCAACTCTGTGTCACTAACCTTTGTGTTATAGGTAGCATCTAGAAAGGCATTCATATTCAGTGTCAAGGATAAAAAACAAAAACATGATTTGAGTAATGCAAATGAAATCAATTGTGCTTCACTTTTTTTTTTTTTTTTTAAATCAGCTAAAGAATTGGTCAAAGGAACCCAGAGTTTTGGTGGTGGTTGTTTTGAAAAGTACAGTTTCTTAATGGGGCACTTGATTTTCTAGGTGCAGACACAACACTTGATAAACATCTACGAGGTCAAAAAGGTATGTATGCCTGTACTATGTAAATGATACTCGAAGAGAGACCCAAGAAGGCTAAAAAACAACCTGATGACATCTGAGGTATGCTTTTAATTCTGGAGTCTGAGTTTTGTACAGATGAACACAGGAAACTCTGAAGCTTTAAAACTAGAAACTGTACCAAGGAAGGACAAACTGCATCAAAACAATCAAGTGACAAAATTTCAATGCTATTGCAAATCAGGTTGAATATGGCTATTAATTCACTCTCAAACAAAATAAACCCCAAATTCACAGAAAATTTTGCTTTCTCCCTACTTGGAAACAAAATTAAATATCTGGTAATGTGTTTTTCTCTCCACATTCTAAAGCTAATCAGAGAAGCCAGCACCTCACAAAAACATTTCATAAAGATCCTGAGATAATACTACTCCTACAGAGATCACGAATAATGAATCCACGGCCCCCTGGATGTAACTACATCATTGTTGTTTACTTTGTGACTTTGAGGGGGGAGGGTTAAGACAGAAAGGACGGGAGGAAATCAGTTTAAATTGTAGTCAAACAGATAGCTTTACAGAGTAAACATAACTCAAGCAATTAAAAAAAATAGATCTGTGGCACTTCTTTTCAGCTTTGGTTGTGTAAATTCAGTCTGTCCTTTAAGGCTCATCTCAAATGTAATCTCCTTGGCGAGAACACAATTAAACGAACCGATAATTTGAACAAAGGCAACAACAGGCACCTGCAGCCTCTCAATCACTTAGTAAGTATTTACACCAAAACCGCCTAATTCTGGAATCTGGAAGAGCAGGCTGGTGTCAGCATTCAACAATGAGTTCCTTTCTCGGTAAACTGTAAATCACGGGGCAACTGGGACCCGTCTAGGGTTTTGAGACAAATCTCTCCTCCTACCACACGTGACCGAATGGCAATCAGCCGCGGAGAGACACACCGCAACGCACCGAGCTCGGGATACAAAGACTCGGTGCAGCCGCGGCATCCCCTGGAGGATCGCGGAGCCGGCCGCGCTCGGCGTCTGCGGAGCGTGCGCAGGGCGCCGCCGCAAGGCGCGCCGCTCCCGGGCCGCAGGGCGGTGCCGCGCAGCGCGAGGAGAGGGCGCGGGGAGCGCGCGCCGCCTGTCCTACGCGCTTGCTCACCCCGCGCCTCCGGAGCAGGGCCGCCGAGCCGCACGCAGCCCGGCTGCAGCCGCTGGACGCTCGTCCGCCGCCGGGAGCCTCGCAGCAACGTGGACTAGGGTGAGGAGGCCGAGGGCCGCGTCCGAGGCCGGGCCAGCCCACCCCATCCTAGGCCCGGGCCTTCCCTTCTCTTCCTGCTCCCTGGTCCTCCCACACCTCTCCGTGGCCTCGCGGGGGCTACGGGGCGCCGTGATAGGCACTTACACCACGGCTCTGGAGATCATCCAGGACACCATCTTCCCGGAGGCTTGGACCCCACTTCCAGGGCGGGTGGGCGCCGAGCGGAGAGAGCGGGGCGGACCAGGCCGCCAACGGCAGGCCGCGCGCTCGCCGGCTCCTCGCGCTTCCCGGGGCCGCGCTGGCGCCCTCGGGAGCCGGGCCGGTGTATGCGCGTGGCGGCCTGAGTTACAAGGCGGTCGGTCCCTCGCCCGTCCCCGCCCGCCCGCGGATCCTCCACGGAGCCGGCCGGCCCCGCCCCTGCGCTCCGCTGATAGGCGGCGGCGGCGGCGGCGCGTTGGCGGAGGCCAGGTCTGGGCGGCCGGGCTCCGGGTTCTGGGTGGGTGGCCTGGTAGGACCCCAGCCGGTGCGGAACGTTCTCGCGGCTGGGACCTTGCGCTCTGACCTCCCTTCCCAGTTCCTCCTCCTCTTCCTCCTCCTCAAGTCTCCCAGGCGTGGAGGGGGTAGTGGCGGGAGGCTGAGGAAGGGGACTTGGAAATGCGTGTGTGAAAAACAAACTAGTAAGTAGCAGGAACTGCGTGTCACATTGAATCCTGGCCCAGGCCATAGAGTCTAAAGAGGCAGCTTTTTGAGTTGAACCACATCCGATGTCCTCACAGTTCACGGAGGCCCAGCGCCCAGGGCAACCTTCAAGTGCCGCATTTAAGGGAAACTTAGGCAGGAGACTTGCCCTGGCCTTAGGGTGTTCCAGGATTCTTGTGGTGGTGCGGTGGTGCGTGGTGCAATGCAGGGAGGGGTAGAGGAGGAAAGCGTCGGGTTTCATGTTTGCAGCAGTGGGTGTAGTATTGATAAGGTCTTCTGGGCCTCGTAGGGCACCCTTCCATCACATCATCTGCAAAGCCTGTTTTACAGACACAGGTTTCAGCCTGCCAGATAGATATTCAAAGTAAAAACTGGGCCTAGGATTCCTGTCCTGCTATTTCCAGCTGTCTATTTTTTGGGAGGTTGGATTACTAGGTACACTGCAGTTTTGGCAGCTGGCATAATTCAGAAGATAGAATTTGAAAACCTTTTTGGTGGCAGTAGCAAAATGAGAAAATGATCTAAAAGTTTAGTCTTGTCTTTTTCCATTTAAGATGATAGTGAAAGATAATTCTAATCAGACGGTATGAAGGATAATGGATGATATATGGGTTTCGAGTCTTTAATTAAAGTCCAGGAAAATATAATGACTTATTTTGTGACCATACTGTAATTTATTCTTTATATTCCTCAGTTTCCCCATAGTAAAAAGAGGCTAATAATACTGTAGCCTGCCTCTTGCCTTTTAGGGGTGATGTGAGGCAATGCTAAATAACATGTTTAGGAAGTTCTCAGACTTGCTTGGAAGAAAATCAAAGACCCATAAGATTAAGATTAACCTGAGTTCTTTTAAATTCCCAGGTTCAGTAGATTTAGTAATATTTTGATTATTTAAGAAATGAACTCAGAAGCTGTTCTCTACTCTTAAGTTAGGTTCTTTTTGTTTATTCATATTGAGAATGTATTTTAATTTTAGAGGTCTCGTCAATGAAAACTTACATTTGTTAAGAATCTTATTTTTGGCCATTCAGCATTATTTGGGGGTCAGGTGTGCCACATAAGCACCATTTTCTGAAAAACTCTTGTGCACTAAAACTCAGAATTATTTGAATGGCATTCAAATCCCTCCATGAGCCCTGGCCAATTTTGCTCAGTGGTTAGAGTGTCGGCCCGCTGGCCAGAGAGTCCTGGGTTTGGTTCCCTCTAAGGGCATATACCTGGGCTGCAGTTTGTCCCTGGCCCCAGTTGGGGTCGTGTGGGTGGCAGCCAGTCAATGTGTCTCTCTTGCATCAATGTTTTTCTTTCTCTCTCTCTTTCCCCTTCTCTCCCTCCTGCTCTAACTGAAGATAAATGCAAAAATTTCCTCTGGTGAGGATGAAAAAAAATCCCTCCATGAGCAGGTCCTGAAATGTTTTTACAGCCTTCATTTTAACTTACTTTCTAACCTCTAATTTACCTTTTCCTAACTCTCTGAGCCAAGTTGTATTTTCATGCCCAATGACTTTGCCTGGACTTCATTTTTCTTGTTTAATGATTTGCTCCCCATTCTCTGTCAGAACCCTTGTTTGTCCAATGTCCTATGCCATGAAGGTGGTTTTGATTTTCCTCAGTGATAATTATTTATAATTTTTTTTAGGTTCCCATTATTTATTACTTAATTTGTATTTAATGCCTGTATAAATCTGCTTTATATTATGGCTATGTTTCGCTAATGTCTAATCTACTGCATGGTAAAATGTTTGAGGACAGGTGTGGGATAGTACATACCTGTGTGTTTTCCTAGTGTCTAGAATAGGGTAATTGCCCAATAAAAGTTTAAATAATATTAGATAGTCACTCTTTGAAGTATCACAACTTTACATAATTTCAGCCATGTACAGTGGAAGTGTCTTAAAGATGTCTTTCTTGTCTTCTTAATTTGGAGGTCATCATTCTGAATATAAATTATTTCACTGTGTCATAATATAGTAATGCCTTCAGGGGTTGCTCAGGTAGGACTACTGGCTGCTCTCTGAAATTTCCCTGGGCTGCTGTGTGTTAAATTTCATTTTCTATACTTATATCTTCAGCCTCTTCCACGTTGATGTTCCCTTTTGCTGCTCTCAATCTGGAATAGCCCCCTTCTTTACCTCATATGCCATGTTTTGGAACCACCTACACCCAAATTATGTTGTTGAGTCAACCTCTACACCTCAAAAAGCCTAAGTAATATTCCTTTTTATATACTGGGAACTGAGGGTTAGATAGCTCACTGCCAGTGACCATATAGCTCATAGGTAACAAAATTGGAACTTTAGTCTATACTTCCTAAGCCTCTGTACATTATACTGTGTGATAGGTGAATTATATCTAAGGCAATGGGTCCAGATGGGGAGTTCCCTCAGGGGGAAGTTGGGAGACTTTTTTTTTTTTTTTTTTTTTGGTTGGAATAACAGGGGCATTTAGTGGGCAGAGATGCTGTACTTTTTTGCTGTGCATGGGCTATCCTGAACAAAGAATGTCACAATGTCCTGCATGATTTAGGAATATCCTGCTTATCCTTTGTGTACTCTTTGTAATTATCTGAACCTGTAACCTCCATTTTACATATAAACTCATGGTTTTAACTGAGACTGAATTTTCCATCATTTATTTCCACATTCAACCAACCAATATGTAAAAGGAAGATTTGTTTTTTTCACAACTTGACCAAGAGTTGTTGACAGTTTTGGAGAATTGCATCACAAACAACTTCACATTTGTAGCTGTGATGTGTAGCTACTAATTACATTAATTTCTTCTAGTTCAGTGTTGTTTCAGGATTAACATTGAAATACACATTATCTTATTATAAATTATTTTCATTTATATTTTATTTAGGGTCTATGGATTTGTTTGAAGTTGTAGGAATATTGTTATTAATTTCATTTCAGGGTGACAAGTCAGAAGTTGGAAAATATTTTATGGAAGGGGGACATCAAGTTTGATACAGTTAAGTATTTGTCTAAACTAAGAGTAACTTCATCTGAGTAGGAACCTCCGATGGAAAGTGCTTAGATTTTAGTAGTGGGTGTTTCTAATCTTTGTGTATTGGGCTGTGCCTTGGATAGTTGAGATCTACTAGTAGGTGCTCATTAAATAAGTGCTCCATGGTGTAAGGCAAGGCTCTAGAGACAATAGAACAAAAGGAAATACATTACCTGCTGTTCAGAAGCTTTTAAAGTACGGAATCATTTGGTGTACTTAATCATTTTCTGTATTTAAGAGAGAAAATTATTTGTTTAAATATTAAGCTTATACACACATAAACACACACTAGTATTCATTTGTTATGCTATGAAGTACTTCTTCCTTCATTGTGTTCTGCAAAGACGATTTTCTTTGGGTATTGAGTTGAATCATGATGAGATGTAGCATATTTAGGGCAAAAGAGGTTCTATCTGGAGACCAATTTCTACTACCAATAACAATGTTTCCTGTTAAATGAGGATGATAATGTTACATAGGTCAAATGCAAAAGGGTTTAAAAACCTAAGGTAATTAGATTATATTAAAAGAATTGCTTTCTTTTTTCTATCTTCACTTAGTGTTCCTGGGGAATATGTGGAATTTGCATCTTCTACACGTTAAACGAGTTCATTAGGAAAAGAAAAGAGAGTATGAAGCATCTAGGTGAGCAGGTAGTGAGAGCAGAATTACAGGGCACAGAGATAGTATCTAATCTATGCAATTATTAATGAGTATGCTAATGAGACTAAATACTAGGTCACTTTCCCATTTTTAATGGAGGAGTATTTTCAAGTGCTTGAAAATATTTTTATTGGAGAAAGGCTAAAATTACTAAATGAGTGTACCTTTAATAGTTATTTAGAAAATAGTGAGGGACAGGACGTAATAGTTAAAGAGAACGATGTAAAAGACAAAACCTGTTCTTTTTCCATCTGCTGCCAGATGAATATTTCTTTTGTCTTGGCCAGTCAGCATTATGGCATTATGGTTACAACAGAGGTAACATTTGGCATCTGATATTGAAGTCAAACTGTAAAGAAATAATATAGAAATACAATAATTGCATGACAGTAGAATAGAAAGATTAGCTTTTGAATTAAGTATTTGACTGTAGATATTCATAGAAAAAAATAGTTAATAGCTAACAATGAAGAAAGAAAAATACGTATGTGATGACTGGACCTATGGAACATACATAGTAAAGAATCAAGCATATATGAGGTTCTTATAGATTTGAGGTGATAGCTTTACTTACAAAAATTAAGAAGAGTTTTTGTTTGTTTTCAGGGTAAAAAATGATTTTGTTTGATTATATTAAAGACCAGAAATATCTAGTTCAAGACATATTTGAAGCACTTGCACTATCCATTTAAAATAGACTAAATTAGTTCCCAGTTTTAAAATTAAGGTAGATCTGTGATTTCAGGTATCATCCAGGTGCATAGGGGCTACATTGTGATTTGCAGAAAGCTGCAATATTTTATAATTCCATCATGTTTATGAAGTAGAACTTTAACAATTTTTTATTTATGTTTTTGAGTGGTGATTTAAAGCCCATGGAATAAAATTAAAAAGGGTAAACAATGAAAAGTTTGTTGTCTTTTTTTTTTTTTATCCTCACTGGAGGA